ACAAGTCTTCTATAATACCGTACCTGGCACGGTTTCTTACCAACGCTGATCTTGTCACTGGGACTCTTACACAAAATCTTTGCTAAATCGGCTTTTTGTATATGTAACGTATCATCATACGTTTTGTTACTATGTAATTTCCAAAGAAGAGTGTTTAGTAGCTGAATGTTCATCCCCTATAGGGACGACTTGACTTGACAGTAGTTTATCGTTGGCATACTCTCGGGTTGATTAATTTGATTATTGTGCTTCTACCAATAGAGATTGCAGCAAGGAAATTTTTATCGCGTAAATTCAAGGAAGATTTCAGAGATCCGTATTGAAAAGAACTGTTCTGTCTCTGCCTGAAAAAAAAACAAGAGTATTTGCGATTTCACCAAATGGTTTTCGCAGTTCACAATTGTTTTGTCATTCAGAAATGGTTGTTTTCAGGTTAGCTTTTTACCAGTCACCTCATCATCCGTAGACTTTGACATCTGTATTTTGCGCATGCGCATTCGGGACCGGTCACAAACGGCACACGGCAGGTGTGGGTCACAACAACTACATCAGGATAAAGGAACGAAAACCAATAGATGTAATTGTTGTGTCGTATCAGGGGGTCAAGGACACGCACTTTATTGAATCAAAACATGACGGACCATGTTTTGCTGCATTAACGCGTGAAAAAAACCTCTGAATATGACCGATTCGGTGTACATCTATTTACTGTACCCACACATACTTCTTTATTCTCCATTTCGGCACCGGTCTCATGGCCTGTATAGTTTATGTTTGGTTTGTAAATTTTTAGCGTCCCCTGGACCATGGCGCGGACATCTCGTGGCACTCACTCACAAAGTACATGAATGGTATGTCTAGCAACTGACAATTCTCTTTATTTTGATTTGTATGATATTTTCTAAACATACGAACGAATTTCAGGGGATGGGTCCTGGTCATGGTTGCAGGGTCCGAACATAAGATCTAAGGTACACTGAACTAAGGACCTGTGTTATGCCATCACTGGGACACTTGTACTTGTATGTTTGTTCATTCCTCTTTCATTAGATTGAATAACCGGTTATTGGATTGTAAGTAGCTTGTTCTATCCGTTGACAGTTGGCGATAGACAAATTGTCTCATAAAATGACACCCCTCTTTCCAGGTTATAATCCCTCTGATACGATACATGCGATTGATACTGCTCTGCTGAATGCAAACTTACGTCAGCCACGCACTTTGTGGACAAATGAATACTCGTTAAGTGTTGCACAGTGTAAAATGCGGAAGCATTATTTGGTTTCGCCCGTCCAAGGAAAGATAAAGTTGTGTTATTTAAAAAACCCAGAAACAATCTGTGCAAGAATCCCGATCAGGTTGGTCCACCAGAGCCGGCACGATTTCCCTTGAATCCGTCGCCTGTCGAGGGCATCTGATTACAGCTCATTCAATCATTCTATGCTGCTATCACATTAAGAATAGCAGATGCAAAACACTGATTCTTTAAATGCGTTCACTTTGTTGCATATATCCGATGCGGCGTTTTTCTGTGAAATTATGAATGAACTACTGAGAAATTGATGTTGAAAATAGACAGGTTAGCAGTCTGTGCCAATTTATCTGACCGGGACGTGTCACGCATCGGTCAGAGTAAATATCTTTGGTGGAGAGTATTCACTTGAGTGGACAGTAAAAGGGTAGAAGTTGCCATTTTTGAATGTGCAAGAAGTCAAAAACGAATGAATGACTTAGATTCAACGGGATAGCGGCCTCATAGTTGACCCAAATGAAAGGTTCTCGCGTTAGGGTAAATTGATCATTTTTTCCCTTATGCACATGAAATGCGCGGTGTGAATTTCGAAGCAAATCGTTTTCATTGAGGAAATACATGTTAACGTAGTACTTTCGCGTTTCATCAGTTCTCTTTAATCGGTTCGTATTTGACCAACTATCCAATGTCAGGTGATCCATGCTAAAACAGAGAATTCACTAATCAGGTTGTGACAGTGATGTCCACACGTGATGCATAAAGCTTATCCTAATTTGAATTGTGGCCATGGGTTTCACCGGAAGTGGAATACAAGTTGTGATAGTGCGTCAGAATAGCCGTTTCATTGTCCACTTGCCTTTATATTGCTCATCTTCTTGTAATCCGCGATTTCATACGATCTTTCTACCATTTTTTTCAATCAGGACACGCAGATGTTGTCATGGGTGCGGTCATCACGAAGAATAATATCGATTTACCGAAAAAACTGGCCTATCTTCAGTTAGCCGGTGGAGCTGTGCCCTCGCCCTTCGATTGTTACATGTGTCTGCGGGGCATTCGCACACTGGCTGTGCGAATGCAAGCACACATGCGCAGCGCGCTTATTGTGGCCCTAATGCTTGAACGACACCCGTGTGTAGAACGAGTCATTCATCCCGGTTAGTTTGTTTCACAACAAGGTTCTTTGCCCGTTGCTGTGACAAACGTTGGTAGAGTTGACTAATAACAACTTATTATTTTCAATGCGATTTACGGTTTAATGTAATTTTCTAGTCTCGGTCATAATGTTCCCTTGAATGCTTCAGTCTATTGTTCGATACCTCAAGTTGCTTACTTTTGTCTTATAACACTTGCATGCGTCTATGGAGACGAGAATGTATTTTGACATATGTGTTTGTGTGTGATGACTTGCTTGCTTCTATGACCCAGTAAGTTACACAGAATGGCTTTTCACAGCCGCAGATCCAGTCAGGCCTGAAAGGTAAATTGGTAGAGGCGAGACAAAGGTTAGGCTTACGAGATCAACTGATTGGGTACATCCTGCCTTTCACTCCTGAAGAGTTTACTTCAGCAACTAAACAGGAGGAGGGGCAGTTCACCGATCAGGATCTCCGCTACTTGGATGTAACACCTGGAGCTTCCTTGCGACAGCGCGAGATGCCTTTTGAATTCATTAGACTATTGCCGCTCGTCTGCTGGCCCAAACTACATCTGCACCGATTGTCGAAAACCTCCAGCCGATCTATATCTTTTGCTCACAGATTCAAGGTCTCACAACCGTAAAACAGAACAACCCGACAGGTGGCACAATATGCGCAAATTCTGTACCTCAGAGAAACGTCACGTCGTTGCCAAAGGTGCGCCAGTTCTGCATACGCTGCTCGAGCCTTAGCGATGCGTGCGGCTATCTCGTTTACCGCGCTAACGTTGTTGGTCACGCAGCATTCCAATTACGAGAAGCAGTCATCTACAACTAATTCCTGCCCATCTTGTTTCAAAGTAGGACTAATCAACAACTGGTCTTGTAGCATCGCTCTGCACCTCGAAAGTACAAAGCGTGTGTCCGATGGAGCAACATAACTTGTCACTTTATCAAATGCGCTTTGCTCATCCTCCATGTATTATATGTATGTCATTGGCATAATCTAAATAGCATAACTTATCTGGAGCTGCCCATTCACTGCCTACGTTTTGGAGACCACTTAATGTGTGCTCCAGTATTTCGGTTACGCAAAATTCAACAGAATTCGCAAAATGGGGCACCCCTGACAAACACCCCTCCCGGTTTTCAGCGATGCGTTTGGTCCACCGCAAACCCTTGCTCTATCCGAGGTTTGCGAGTACAAGGACCTCAATAGGTGTACATCCTGCTGGGGTATTCTTTTGCGAAGCAGCGAACCCATGAGGGCTTTGTGGTCAACTGAGTCGAAGATTCTCTTAGGCCAAGGAAAACTGTAGTCGTCGGTCGACGATGAGCACCTTAATTTCTGGATTTGACGTAATATGAATATTTGGTCGATACGACCGCGACCTGGTTGAAATCCTGCTTGCTGCTCACGGATTTTTGTCTCCCGTAAGGGCATCAGACGTCTAAGTAAGACGTGGAATCACACTTTGGTGACGATTGGGATAAAACGTATCTCGCAGTGTTTTTTCTAGTCATTGTGAGATCTGGTCTTTAAGTTGGGATTTTCGTTTAGCAGCACAATATAATCTGCATATTCATGATCAGACAGTATAGCATCTGGGAGCGAATCGATACCACTTTCTTCGCACGATAACAGGGCTGTTTCAAGACTCAAATTTGTGACTTAGGTAAATATAAAAGTTGATAGAAGGCAACTCTGACGAATTCCACTAACCGTAGTGAACTCCGGCGAAGAGTGCCGTAAGCTCGAACTCGGCTGTGTAAACAGGTCGGAAGATTGCGATAAACCTCTGGGGCATACCCTCTACCGGGAGGCAGCGTCAGAATAGAGAGCGGTCGACTGAGTCGAAAGCCGCTTTTAGATCGAGGAAAATAGAATGTTAGGTCTACAAAAGGAGTGTTTGTGTTCCGGAATTAACGAAGAGTGGAAATGTGGTCTATTCAACTTCGACTAAATTTAAAACCAGCTTGGCTCTCACTTGTGCTCCGTTCATCTGTGGCAGACAATCGAAGAAGTATCATGCTAGTGAGAAGTTCGGATACGATGTTGATCTAACTGATTCCTCTGTGGTTTTCATAAGAGGATCTGTCATCTTCTGAATTGGTAAGACGACCGATTCACACTATTCACTTGGCACCTGCTCCCTTTCCTACGGTAAACCGTTTTGAGATAACTGCTGTTCCGGGTAACCTCCAATTCAGATGGAAGACTGATATCAGCTATCTGTATTTGCCGAATTAAAGCAGAACTTGGGAAGTTTTGTGTCGACGAGGGCCTAAAATTTTCCGCACATCGTTCAACATGGCGTAAGTCTAACCGCGCAGAACTTTAAAGCGTGCCTGTATAAGCCGAAATCAAGACCGAAGAATCAGGGTCAGAAAGTTTTACACCTTGGCAACGCATACAAGCCGACTTCTGCGGGCCGTTCCTCGGCCATTATCACGCACTAGTGCTGATAGATTCGTTCTCAGTGCCCAGAGGTGTTATTAGCCAATACACCGACTGCATCCTTCGAAATACAGGTTCCACGAAAGTGTTTCAGAGAAGGAGTTCCACAAGTGTTGGTAACCGATAACAGATCGCAGTTCTGCGCTACGAAGATAAAAACGGGGACGGACAGTATTGGTTGCCGATATCTGTACACAGCACTGCGTCATCCTTGTTCAAACGGTGCGGAGAAAAATCTGGTGAAAACGGTGAAGAACGCCATTGCATCTGCAATTCCGAAGGCAATTTCAGAGTTGAAAATACCTCTAGACGTTTTGTTGCAATACTGAAATGCGGCACACGCCACCACCAACGAAATTCTAGCTAAACTGTTCAAAGCAAGAAGTTTACGATTCTCAGTACATTGCATTGTTTCGAGTTACTTCCGGAAACTGACCTCAGGCCTGCAAGAGAAATCGGAAACCGAAAGATTGACCAAACTATGGTGGAGACCAACGACCTGACAGACACGACAGTTCAATGACTCCATATTGATCAACCCCATTTCAAAGAGCCTCTTGGCCCAACTGGGGATTCTGTAGGAGGAATCCAAGAAAATTAATCCGGTGATACAACGTTGCCAGAAACAGAGAACCGAAACCAGCAGTTCCGTACACTTTGACTTTCCTACAATTCTCCTGTGTTTCTCCTACTGCTTCATTCGAATGGGCAGCGAAAAGACAATAACCCAAACTGACGCAGGAAAGTGCATGTTTAATGGTTGTACAAACTGAAAACCGATATTAGCCAGTAGATGAAACACCGGAACTCCCCACCACATGCTATCAGCAACGTGCATAATATAATGTATTTCATGCACTTCTGATTCCAGGCTGCGTGCCAAGTAAAGAAAAGAGCAATAAACTTTAGAAAAATGAAAAAGCTCCATGATTTGTTTGTGAACGGAATATTGTGAGGTCTCCATATAAACCGCAAACAACCATCACTGAGGAGTCCATTGTGCGCACCAGACAAGCTCTTTGACTCACCCGCATTAGAATGTCCACGTTGAAGCCCACCCAGATTCAGTGATTGGTGAGTTTCCAGAATCTACAATTTACTCAGTGATAATCGACTTATAGTGCTATTTCGCAAAGAGCTTTAGCGAGGAACAAACAAGTCAGATGGAATTTTGGGGATGATAAGTACAGATGAAGGGGCATGGTGGGCTGCGGAAGACAAAGAATTGAACAAAAGCTGGGATTTCTGAGCAGTTGTCCACTTGTCAGTACCCATCCCACTCGATACGATGTACAGTGCGGTCCTGATTATTCTGCGCGACAACCGATGAAGCATGGAATTTATTGTTTGTTATACATTTGAGTTTGATGGACGGGTATTGCTGATGTATTCAGTTTCTAAACAGGAATACTTTTCGAATTCTTAACCGAAGCCTTTAGTTCCGACGATAACCGGGCTGTACGTCTGTAACTCAATCAGCCTTTCACTCTCCTGTTAGTAGGGAGGTAATGTGGCAATCGGTTGCTTTTATCACCTCGCTCTCGGGATTTAATGTTCGGCTTCGTGTCAGTTTCATGGCAGAGAAAGTTTCTCTACTCTCCGACGATGTATTTCGCTTACATTTAATAATGTGAATTAATAAACTATGGTTGTCAGTATACGCTTGCATGGGATTTGTGTAACCTCTCTGTTTATTAGGTTGACTCTGAATAACCGTTATGACCAATACGCTATTGAGTAACAGAACAGTAACTAATAGCACAGTTGTGGACGAATAACAGACCCTGATATGAAGACTCGATGAATAATTATGGAATTTTTTTAGTTTCCAATATAATCTTCATCGCCATTCGAACCTGAGTAATTAAGAATCACAATACGCATGTTTTCGTCGTTAGTCAACAGATAAATGATTGAAGTTGGTACAACGCGCTTCTCCCTCCGTTCTCCTGTCCGATATTTTTTTTGCTATATGTAAAGTCACTGAAAATGTCAATCGAACGTAGAATTTCTTTGAAACACGAATCCTCCGCTTCATAGTCGTCGAAGTTTGAGGAAGCGCACCACTGTTTTCTTGCTTCGTCTACCATTTGCTTTATCTGTTTTACCCATTGTACAGCTCTTCCAAGTCACCCCCAGCAACAGCTAGCCTGGAAACAGATGCGCGGCTACAGTGGGATGGTCACGGTCTATCTGAAGTGTGATTCGCAGNAACGTTCGTGTGAGTTTGTTTCCCATTCCAAGTTAATCTCACGCATATTTCTACCAACTGGCTAATTCACCCTGAAGCAATGCGTTAAAAGAATCCCCGAACCTCGGTCCGCTTTCCTACTTATCAAACCGCCATCTTCACCCATGCAATATAACATGTAAAACATTGTTTGGCGTGATCGGCCTTCGAAGGGTCAACTTGAGAACAAGAATGGTACCAACGCGGTAGCAATGGAAACGGAAAGGAGTGTTTGGGCATTATACAGGATAATTAGCTGAAAGAGATCACAGAACAATAACAGTATTTGGGCGGGTCACCGTTTATTTTTTTGATGTGAAGGTATATGCGTAACCTGACAAAAACATAGAGGCGATATTCAGATAATGTGGCGAGATGTTTGTATTTCGTTTAATCCCCTCAATCAGTTTCAGTTCAGTTTATATAACCAATAACCCTGCACTTGCATGCGGTATCTTTGGCTTCTGTCTTTATGCTGCCCAGTTGGACACGAAGAGACAAACTACTAGCAGGCATAAACTAACCCTGACCGAGGGATGTAGAGCGACTTTCTGTTTTGATAGGACAACTATCGGCACCCAAAACACGACGACGAACCTCTTCATTGCTCATCGGACGTTACCACCAAACACGCGCAGTGCTTCGACGATATCTTTGATCGAATAAAAGACTATCATTAGCGTGCTTAACACAGAGAAACCGCGTCGTGAAGTAGAACACTACAAACGCCGGAGACACCCTGTCCTCAAAGGTAATTCAAATGTCCTGGTGGTATCAGATTGGTAAAACCTGCTCTAGTGTTCTTGATTCGATATATTTTCCAGTCAATCTCCCACTATACCTGTGACTATCCATGATCTCTAGTTGATCAAAACAAAGAGGGATTTAGACACAAGCTCCATTCAGCCTGTACAAGAACATTGCATTCAGATGGTACGAAGCACATCATAATTCTT